TCATCTTGGTGAAATCCTCGGTAATGTCTAACTCGGGTACAATGGGGTTCGGTTGGGGGTTAAGTATCTTCTCCACGTCTATGTTGGTCAGGAGTGCTTGTGTGGCCTTATTAAACCCTTCTCTCAACCTCCTTGTCTTGGAACGCGTCATGGGTGAGCCATGTATTGATGGTACAGTGGCCTGTCCCAGCTCCCCTCGTCCCGGTATGAACAACTGGTCGTTGCTCCCGTTACTCTCTCAACCCGGTACGATCAAATGGTCCATGTCCTCATCATTTCATTAGAAGAAGGTGATGTTGCACTTTCAAAGCTTCTCGCTGGCTGTCCCATGCTTGAGGAATTAACTCTGATGAATCTCATGTGGGGGTTTTGGAAGTCTTGCACAGTCTCTATCACCAAACTCAAGAGACAAATGTTTTCCTGTGAGCACATCATTTTGAGTCCAAGGGGTGAATCGTTTATTACTCCGAATCTTGTCTACCTACCATACTACGATACTGTTGCGGACAAGTGTTTGAAAATCAGTTTTGATTTGATTATCGAAGTTCATATCAGTCTTCGGCTAACAGAAGATGTAGATGTAAACATCATAGAAAGTGGTAAGGCAGTAGAAATGCGTAGAAAAGGGTTGGCTATTTTTCGGGGAATATGCAACATTCAAATACTTTTCGTATCTACCGAAGCACTTGAGGTCTGTATTTAAATCTCATATATATCCTATTATTGTTATGCTTACCTAGAAAGATTAAAAAAGCAAACAACCTAGAGCCAGGAGCTGAGCGATGTAGAGACGTGTGGGGTAGATTTTAAAATATTGCTGATTTTTTATTGTTGAAAAGGTATTATGACCCCATATAATTATGTTAGGATGGCCACTTAAAAACAAACAAAAAAAACTCTCTTCATGTTTGTGTATTTTTTCTTTGTGGTTCTATCATTGGCCATTTTGGTTCCATGGTATAAAAGATTAGGTACTAATATATACAAAAAAATATATGATAAATAAAATGCATCGGTTTTTGTTGATAAATATAACACATTTGACCCATATACAAATATTTTCTTGTTCTGCCGCTCAGCTTGAGTTAACATTCACAACAAGAGAGTGATAATTTAGTTTTTTTGTTACAGGCACTTACGTTCTGGGAGGAAGAAACTCCCGTGTTCAAGGAACTGATTCAGTTAACGATCGAAAGAAACCCGGAAGTAGGATGGGAAACATTGCCAGGTTTGCTCATGAATTGTCCAAAACTACTAATCCTTATTATAAAGGTATAAAATATAATTCATTAAATCATATTTATTTATCAGTTACAATTTAACCTTCGATGCTCACATATATAAAGAAAAAAACGTTTGAATAGGGTCTTTGATATTTTAAAACTTTTAGAATTCGTTTTTTTTTTTTTTGTATCCTTTAGTTGTGAAGAAGAAGTATGTAATTTCCTTTTTCTTTTTTTTAAAAAAAAATAATTTGAGCATTTTAGCAGCTTGACATTTTTCTTTTATTTGTTACGTATGGTCTCGATTTTTAATATCGTACTAGGCTTTTAACTCGCACTATGTGCGAGTCTGTATTAATAATTTGATTTAGTTCTTTTTTGGCTAAAACTTTTTAAATTATCAAAACTATAATATATTTATAGAAATTTTAGTTTTATATAAAAAAAAACATAATATGTAGTTTTACCTATTTTTTATTATGAAATTATAAATCTTTTAATAACATCTAACAAATTATCCAACTTCAAGGTGCATACATTAGATTTAGAGAATAATTTACTTACTAATTTTTTGGTGTTTTTTGTGCCTTTGGGATTTCTATAGTTCTTTTTTTAAAAGATTTATATGTTCAAATATTTAGTTTTTGATTAAATGTCTCAATGATGTTGTGTACCTATGTATATATAATATATTATTCATGTTGCTTCAGATTTACTTTTTTTAGGATGCTACAATAATCATGTAAAGATGCTTTTTGCTTCTCTACCAGATCTTTTATGAATTTTAAGTTATATCTCTATTCAGTTTATAAGATCAGTTTTATTTGTAGTCAACTATTTGATAGCTTTTGTTTTTTAACATGTAAAATAGTGTGAAGTCTTCACATTATCACTATTTTTATCTTTTGTGTGGTTTATTCATGTTTTGATTTGAATAGTTTATCTAGATATATTCTAATTTGACTTTGATTCATAAGTTTGTCATACTTTACTATATAAAGGAAATTATAGAAGATGTTGCTCATGTGCTGTTCATGTTGGCTAAGTTATAAGTAGTAACTATGTATAAATTACTTATTATATTTCAAATATAAAATTATTTGTGTAGTATTTTTCTTGTTAGTTTTAAACCAGATGCAGCCAAGATATTAGTAATTATAAATTTAAATAATATGTTTGATTTGAAAACTTGTATAACCTACTTTAACTTTATATGGTTATTCATAGCCAATATCAATATTTGAGAAATCATGAATTTTCTAGAACTAAATTTCAAACTAATTTTCTTCTTAGATTTTATTTTTTGTTATTTTACATATCTTTCTATAATAATTTTATATTTTTTTAAATTTATCTAATTTTGTGCATGTTTATTATATTTAAAACATATATATTTTTAGTTAATCTCTTTTGTTATTGATTTTTCAAATAGGTAGCATATATCAATTTAATCTCTTTTACATAAATATTTTTTCCTTGTTAAATTTATTTTTTATATTAATTTTTATTTTAATTATAATTCTATTTTAACATGTTACAACTGGGTATTCTAAATTTTATGTGGACTTCTTTCAAAAACCTATACCATCATTTGCTTTTTTTAGTTAATTTTTTATGTTGATTTTCCAAAATATTAGCTTAAATATCAAGCTAGGTTTTCTTTATACAAATTTATCTTTTGATAATTTACCTCTCTTGATATTGATTTTTATTTTATTCTAACACATCATTGTTTTGAAGATATTGATATTTTTGTGGACATAAATTCATTTTTCGTTTTTTTGTTAATTAAATATTTTAATATTGATTTTTTAAATAGTTAGTCAGATATCAAGTCAATTTTTTTAGATGATTTTTTATAATTTAAAATTTTTTAAAACTTAATTTCGTTTTATTTTTCTTGGTTAATTAATTTCTTAATATTGATATATTTAATAATTAGCTTAAATATTAATCTTCTTTTTGTTAGTAAAGCTTTTTAGTATTACTTAAGTTTTTTTATTTTCTTACTTATTTTTTATATTGATTTTGTTAAATAAAAAATAGCATAGATATCAAATTAATATCCTCTTTTTTTGTTAATTTAATTTTTTTTATAGTAATTTTTATTTTAATTGTATTGACATGTTACAAAAAATAATTTATATTTGGTTTTTTGTTAGTTAAACTTTTTTGCTTAGTTCAGATTTTTGTGTTGATTTTCTAAATAATTAGCAAAATATCAAGTTTTAGATGACTTTTTCTTTTGTTAATTTAACATGAATTTTTTTTGGTAGTATTGATAGTGTTTATATAAACAATTTAATCTTAATATTTTTTCTAAATAAATTATTCATTTAAAATATATATTTTAAATTTTTTTCTTTTTTAATTAAACTTTTTGTTATTGATTTACATATTTATTTTTGTTAGTTTAGCTTTTGTGACAATAAGTTTCTATTTTATTTTGACAAATATTATAGATTTGGATTTTTAATTTACTTTTATTTTATCTATTTTGTTAGTTAAACTTTTTATCTTAGTTTTCTAATTTACTATGATAATTTTATATTTTTGCATAGTTTAATTTATTTAAATATTTAATCATATTTAACATTTTTATGTTTAATGATAAATGTTGATGTGGACCAATCAGATTGAGTTTCTACGTCATATGTGGACGCTTTCATTGGCCTAAGACATCAACATGGACCACAACTAATATATTTTAGGTTATCAGTTCAGATTTTAATTGTTTATCATGATTAAAATTTTGAAATAGTTTAATTATGGTCTTAAATATGGTTTTTATTTATTTGTTCAATATATATGATTTTCTTTAATAATCTATTTATATGTTAATTTTTTGTTTGTTAAAGATATTTATATGTTAATTTACTTTTTATTGTTAATAAAAAAAATAAGATCTACTTTATAAACTCTTTCTTATTTATAACTAACTTAAAAATTTTGAAACTTTCCTAATAACAACAAACACAAAATTAATTAAAATTTAGAAATTTTTCTTATAACAATAAAAACGAATTAGTTAATTTTAATATACAAAATATAATTAACTATAGATAATGATGATGTGTACCAATAGAATTGAATCTTTTAAATCATATGTGGACATCTTTAGAAGCATTTAGCATCAATTTTTATTAGTAATACATGTTCCACCTCAAATATCTTAGAACTGTCATTTTTTTTCTTCAGAGTCTGTACCACAGACATCACGATAAATGTGGAAATATATGCGACTGGGAACGTCTGGAAAATATTCATTTTTTTCTTTCGTCTTCTCCCGTGAAAATGCTAAATATATTCAAAATGATGGACATAGTCCAGATCAGGCACTTCTTGGAGAAAATGCCAGCTCTTGAAAAGTTGGTAGTATACTACCATACATCATTTGACAATGATGTGTATCATTTATTCAAGAGGCTTGAGGAGACTCCAAAAGTAGCTTCAGCAAAGTGCAAGATCCAAGTGATCTCTCGCAAAATTTATTTGTCATCTACTTTGCCTTGAAATGGTATACTTTTCGAGAAGAAGAGTCTTCTTGGTGTCTGAGTTAGACTCAAAAGCAATTAACTTTGCTGTATTACTCTGTCGTATGTCATCTTAGTTTCATGACTGGTGTTTTATTTATACTTTTGATTTTCGTTTGTGTTTTATTTATACTTTTGATTTTCCTTTTCCTTTTTAAAACTGAAGATGTTAAGTTTATGTTTTAAACATTGCTTCTTGTCTAAGGACTAATGGTAACGAAATAATCATGTTTGATATTTGTTTGTTCGTATTATAGTGATTAGAATTATAAATAAACAAATAAACAGTGGAAAGATTCGAGTCAATTTGGAACAAAAATCAAGATTTCATATTTTCAATTTTCTTTTGGCCTCAAATCTCTCAGTCTTTCTTGTTCCATGAATCTTCCTAATGTTTAACCGAATCTTTGGACAAAATCTATACAAGAATAATAAAATGCCAATATTACCCTTCACTCTTTACCACCGTACCTCCATCTCTCCTCTCCCCCTCCTTCCTCCTACCTCCGCCGCAGCAACACAGCCAGCTAAAACAACCGGCACAGCAACAACTTCTACAACACTCGGACTCATGGCATTTTAGACAATTCCAACAAGGGCATTTCGGACATTTAGGCTTCCCAAAGCAGCTGCTGCATTCGAACTTGGGACAGGAGCAACAACAAGAACTAAAACAGCTCGGTTTCTTGCAGCAAGAGAAACATCCCTTCAACGAAAGACAAGAACACTTGCAACAACCGCAACTGCAATCGCAACTAGGCTTGGGACACCGAGGGCATTTTGGTCTACTGCAGAGTCGGAAACTACAACATCCCTTGGATTCGTCTTGTCTGCGGATTTCTTGCCAAATCTTCTTGAGACGAGACTTGGTGGTTGTATTCTCCATGTCTTGTATAAACCGGTAGAGATGTCTAATGTAGTCCGGATAGATCTCGAGGTTGCAATGTCCACCACCTTTGATCCAAAGCGGTTCATACGGTTCCTTCGCCATTTTCCATAGCCTGTTTCCGTGTAGCCAATTCACCACATCATCCTCTGTTCCCTGCTTAACCATGGACGAATCGTAAGATAAATATAAAGTTCACTGATTCGAATATGGACAAGAGAGAATATAGAGTTTGCTTACGTGAATGACAAGAACAGGGCATTTCACTTTCTTGATCTTGTTTACGTTCTGCAATTAAAACCCAAGAATCGGTTAGAAGGATAGTATTAGAACCCAAAGACCGGTTAGCTTCGATATTAGCCATTTTCATCAATCCACATAACATAAGCTTGATTTGGATTATCTACATACGTTTTTGTTGACATTAATTATATTTATGCACTTAATTAACTAGATTTGGCCGGTTTCGTCCTAAGCAATTCAATTAACCGGCATAACAAAAAGGGAAGAGAATATATACCGAGTAAATGTCACAACAAAACTTGAACTTGACATGACATAGAACACGAAGACCAGAGAGGATGCCACTATGAAGAACCACACCTCTAAGCCGAGGAAGCTTAGAGGCAAGGTGCAGCGTCGGTCCACTGCCAACGGACTGACCATACAAGATCAAATCCTCTTGACCGACCCCATATTCGTTCTGCAAACACTCGTACACCGCCTCTATATCCGCATATGTGTCGTACTCACTTGGCTGCAACACAAAAAGTTATAAACCAAAATTGGTCAAAACTTAAATTGGAGAGAATTCTCAAACCGAACATTCAAAAAATGCCTTGATTAATTAATCCATGGGTCAATACGTAACATTCCTAGGCTCTACTACTAGATCGATCAAGAACATTCCAACAACCTAGAGAGGTAACTAAGTTACATTTTCGGAGAATAATTTGTTATGAGCTTAAATCTATCAAACATTATAATAGAGGAGACGCATTTACACACCTTACCGGTAGAAGCTCCGTAGCCTGAATAATCATACCTGAAAATTAAAACAAAAATATTATCGTAAGCAACGAAACTATTAATAGACTTGTCATAAATGGATCTATATTGATTATTAGAATGAAAAGTTACACATTAGACTCACCTACCCAATGTTCGGATGTGAATCCAACGTTAAAGATGAGAAAATATACAAATTGATGGTGGTAGGTGAGAAATTTTGAAATTGAATTTTGGGTAAACAAAAGGTCAAATTCAGGAAAATAAAACGTCAATAAACAAACAAAAAATGAAACAGCGAACGTTTTTAACTTAAACCAAACTATGAAAAAAATTCCAAAAAACAAGAAAAAAGAAAATTTGTCGGAAACGTCATCAAATCTGAGCTTTTTGGGCGACGAGACAAGAACCCATTTCCCAAAAGCGTGAGCTTTCTCAAGAAAACTAAAGACATAACCAAATAATTGTTGAAGGAGTAAAACAATTAACCAAAAAATATTAATCCTGTAACATAATATTATAAAATCAAATCAAATCAAATCAAAATTAACAATTAGCCAATTAAGAAAGAAATATGCTGAGTTATTGGTAAAACAGTCTATACAGTAGTACGCATTAAACATATAAGGATTTCCAAGAAAACCCATTAAGCCATTAGAAATTTATAGATAATTACTAGATTTACTAAACTAAAAACGACGACGTACTATGAAGAGTATGAACATCTCTGATAGAGAAAGAGAGAGAGAGAGACAAACCCCATGAGATTGACTCGGAGATTGACTTTGAGTTGAACGAAGAGATCGAAGAGTTGTCCCAAATCTGCGGCATTTCCATGTGAATACAGTAGTGTGAGCCTCGCGTTAGGGTTTTTTAGGTAAAAAGCTGCGACTTTGTTGCCACGTCTTGTTTTCACCACTCTCACGTCGAGAGACGAGTCTCCGGCGGCGGGAAAGGTTGAGGAGGAGGAAGCGGAGGAGGAGACGGCGGTGAGTTTGCCGTCCGGAGTTTTTGTGAGATGGTAGGTGGGAGGAGAAGGAGGGAAAAAGGCGAATTTGGCGGCGAGGTGAGAGAACATGCACCCCATTTAATCACGGCGGAGATTCCAAAGCTTTGTGCATCAGTCCGCTGTTAGAGAGAGAGAAACAGAGTAGGAGAGAGAGAAAAGAACCCAGAGAGTGAGGAGAAAGAAAAAAAAGAGAGAGAAAGATCAAAAGGACTAAACTAAGTAAAATGATAAATACTACAAGAGTAAGAAGATAAACAGAGAGATTAAAGAGAAGAAAAGAGAGATAGAGTGAAAGGAAGACTCTGAGTATGAGAGAGAGAGAGAGAGAGAGCAGAGGAAGAAGAAGAAGAAGAAGAAGAAGAAAGAGAGAGATAGATGTGTGTGTGTGTGTGTAAGCGTGTGAGAGTGAACGTGCGTTTCCTAGGTAATTGGTTAGTGCTCTGTCTTACTGTTTCTTCTTCATTTTTATTTTTACTATTTTCTCTTAATTAATTTCTCTATTTTATTATTTGTTTTCTCTATATTATTTGCGTATTTGCTAATTGTGAATACTAAGTGATTTTTTATTTTAGATATATATGAGCAAAACGTGGCTATGGACTTTCACTTCATTGCTTTGTCGGCTTCACCCTGCACTCTTTTTTATTTTTGTCAATATTCTCTTTAATTTATTTTCTAGCATTATTTTGCAATTCTTCCTCAACCAAAGCTTAGTTTTTCCCTAAGTAATTATGCTATTTCTGAAAAATCATAAATCCAGAAACATAGTAATGACGCTGGAAATAAATAATGTTGATATTAGCGGTGGTGTTAAAATTTTCCCAAAACAATATATCAGCGGCGGTTGCGTGAAAATTCAGTGATGTCTTCTTCTTCTTCATTACATACAAAAAAAATTAATAGTGTTATACTAAATATGTGTATACGTGAATCGAATTATAATTAAGGGAAAAATATTTTAAAAGAGTGCTGTGAAAATATGTAAATAGAGAATTAAACAGTATTATGAAAACAAGAAAGAAATCTGACCCTCTTTCATGTCCTAGCTTAGCTGACAGCTTTATGTTTCCATACTGAAAAATAGACTATTCATGTCATGCTATTTTTCGAATGGCAAGAAAGAAAAATGCTCGGTAGAACGAAAGTACGATTATATAAATAATTAAAGAAAGTACGCAAATAAACAAAATAAAAGTTTTGACAAAAAAACAAAAAAAAGTTATATGTTTTTTTTTTAACAATCATAAAAGTTAGTATATGTTACAATGTAAATTAAGTTAACATATCAAATGGTAAACTAATAAATTCTTACTAGCTGTTATTTTTTTGCATTTTAAATGAAACTTTATCAGAATCAAGATCGAAAAACAAATGATATTTTTAAAAAAATAAACTAGGAAAATAATTACATGTGGAACTTTTTCATTATATAAAAATTAAAGAAAATAAGCAAATAAACAAAATAAAAGTAGTATATGTTACAATGTAAAGTTAACATATCAAATGGTAAACTAATAATTTTTTATTAGCTGCTATTTCTTTGCATTTCAAATGAAACTTTATCAAGATCGATCGAAAAACAAAAAAAAATTAAAAAAAAATAAACTAGGAAAATAAATTGTATATATGCAATCATATAACTACGCGCGGAACTTTTTTCGGTTTGAGAATGCCACACACAATACAAATCTGTTTTCAAATAGTGTCAACCACCTCGAGACAACAAAATTGTTGAATGAAAAACTGCAAGTAATGTTTATTTGTGTTTACCGTAGAACAAACCCAAAAATTAAACAAGTTCACATATGTTTTCTTTTTAGTGATCAATTTTAATTTTAAGTGTTTGTTATAAAAGCTAGTATATATGTTAAATCATTCATAAACTATTAATATTTTTGTTGACCAAAACTATTAATATTTTTTATATAGATAAAATTGATTTGAGTAGTTGTGCATAGCCCTGAAATTTTTGGGACAGGTACCCGATTTCCACCCGTACCGTTCTAAATTTCCGATCATTTATTTTATTCAAATGGGTAAAGGAAAGAGTAAGGGAATCCGATCGAAAATTCGAATTCCCGTTTAAAAAAATAATATTTTAAAAAATTACATAATTTCTCAAATTTTGTTGAATTTTACAGATATTTCCTAAAATTTTCTGATTTTTTTTGAAAATTTCCCAAATTTCCAAAAATTTCCCAAAATTTTCCAAATTTTCTCAAAATATATGTCTTTAAGATGAGAGTTTGGGATTCTCGTTCCCATCCCATACCTGCAGATTTCCATCTCATATCCGTAGTTTTCCATTCTATTTTTGTCGAATTCCCTTATGGGATCATTTCTCAATTTCCAAATTTCCCATTCACGTCTCGTACCCGTAAATTCCCTTCTCGAATTCCAAAATTTTCAGAGCTTTGTGCATTTCCGCGTGATGTTCATAAGGCGAAGGAAAACATTAACGGTAACATCATGTGCAAACACAAAACACAAGCAAGTCTAACTAGTTTACAAACCCTTTCAATCAACAATTTTCATGGGCAAAGAAACATATGCTACTATTCCACTTTCATGGACATTTCATAAACCTCTTTAAATCATGGGAAAAAATCATAATATAGGTTATGGATAATAATCTTTTAACACAGTATAAAACAAGTCTCAAATGATGAACAACATAAAAATCTATCCTAAAACGTCAAAACTAAACTGTCGGTTTCATCCAATTCTACCAAACCCATTATCCAAGATAGATTTACTCACACATGCTAACTAAAACCGGAAATGCAAAGATAAAAGATGCAAAACACTGAATGCCCTTTTTATATACTATTAAAAAAAAAAAGATGCAAAACATTATGGTAAACTAGTTTATCTTCCTAGTTTGATGATCTAAACAAAGAGTGACAGACCCACATTTATTAATGTTATTTGATGAGAAGCATGTAACGAGACCTTTCATTGTTCACCTATCGTCCAGACACATGCAATAATTGCATGTTTTTTGTCCTTCTTATTATAAATTATAATAGTAGTAATAAGGAAGAAAATCCATCCAAACAAATATTTATACCAATATATACTAGTAGTATAACTTTATATATTTATATATTTTTTTTTTGTTAAAGGGCTTTCAGTATATATTTATATATGGTTTGGTGAGAGCCACAAATACATACTTTTCAACTGGCTAAATTTCTTCTTATTGATCAATTAAGTTGTATAAGTGTGTTTCTTATAGGAATGTCATTTACCTAAATTGATAAGTTGAACGAATCATGTGTTTTTTTTTTGTTTTTTGAGAATGGAAGAAAAAACAATCGTATTAATTCAATTCACGAGATTTTTGAGGTATTCACATAAAACTATAAAGACTGAAATATTTATTTACTTGTACTAATCATAAAGTAAAAAAATTAATAAAAAAACGCGTACACCAATTGTAGTTAGATAAAATTATAGTAGTATAAGTTGTGGTATTAGAATTATCTAAATGCGATTAACGTAACTGGTTAGTGGGACGATGTTGTTTCAGTGTTCATGTATCCTAATTCGAGTTCTAGGTACTACATTTTGGTAAAAGATGATTTACATTTGTGAAAAATCACCAAAATATCATAACAGTTGGTCTTCGGTTAAGGAACCAAAAATATGAGACTTCTCTTAGTTGATTTCTAAGAAATAAAATATTGAAGTTGTGGTGAAAAGATATTTGAAAGAGTCACCGACCGAGGGAGACAAAGTCGACGGAGGCGCGTGGGATTAACGAGGGATTAACGAGGGATATAGCGCGTACACTTTGGTAGAAGAAACAAGTATTCAATTTGGAGTGTTGAGATGTTGTTTGACTTTGGGCAAAGAAGAGATCTCTATGACTCTGGTCCGTAGTTGGGCCCCACCACCACAAGCTTATCAATTTGCTTACTATTTTAGATTTTGTACAAATCTGTTCCTCTTTTGTGGTCCTCTCCTTGTTTTCCCATTCCTGCTCTGCCACGTGCCTTACTCTGATTCAATTAATTGAATTTTCAAAGTACAATTTGTTTACAAACTCGTTTATTTTATTTTTGCCTCGGTTTTTTTTGTTTGGTCGTGTTTAACATTTTTGGAGTTGTAAACACGAATAACAAGCAGAGACAAGAAAAGAAAAAAAAAATCATTGCAAATTTGTTTTCTCATGTACTGTGGCCTGTGGGCAGAAATTTTTTTTTTTTGTGTTTTTCTTTTCTTAACATTTTCCATCAAAACCATGCTGAGATTTATTTATTTTTATTCTAATCTGATTAATTCAATTACAAAACTGAACATTAAGTTTTTACTCTTCTATTTTGGACACTTGTCACAGCCACTGTGAACAATTGTTGAATTTGATTCCCATCCGACTTGTTGTATAATCTAACATGGAAAAATCACAACGAAAAATGATACTGAAAAAAGTGTAATACATGATTTATAATAAAATACTATAATGGATAACATTGTAATGAAATATATGTTTTTGGTCGTTTAAACGAAGTATTAGTAGTGAAAAACTTATATGTGGATTTGTTCTGTTAGAAAGTTAAATGGAGATTTCGAGAAAAAAAATTGTATGTTTGTTAAGAAAGAAATATATACTGTTGCACAGTTATGGATCTATTTCATATGATAATTTGAAAGAAAAACTTCGGACAAAAAATTATAACATGTTTTGGTTGTAATTTTCTAAAATTAAAATTAACATAGATATCACGAGAGGCCACCAAGGCTAGTCAATTTAATCACAACGGTAAAATTAATAATGATAGGTAATTATTAGGGAATTTATGAATTAAAAATGCCAGATGGTGGAAGGCACAATTACTAATCCAACGCAACTTAAGTGGACATATAATACCGACTAATTTCGTCACTTATTTACCGTACTAGTACTTATTAATTTGATCAAATCATGCTTTATATGCTGATTAGAGCATATATCATAATTGTGTTTATAATAGTCTCTACAAATTTTCAAAAACGGTGGCCGGGATTAAGACAGTCCTAAACTTTTGCACATCTTTTTGTTTACGTTAATAATCCACCGAAAACATAGCAAATTAGTCGATATATTCGATGTACCATCAAATGATGAACCTTTTTTCCCATAATATACTAACAATCTATAAATATTAGGGTAAAGTTACCAAGAACTGTAATAATCTAGGACTAGGTTATGCAAAAGCTTTATTTCTGATTATTTAATCTATTGCTAGTTTGCTACACGTGAGAAACCAAAGTTTTTGTTAATAGCAAATTAGCAATGGTTAAATTGTTGATTTTCGAATCAAAACGAGTCAAATGACAGATGCAAGTGAATATCAATATATGAAATCGCATAACTATTCCTGTTCAGAAAAAAAAATCGCATAACTATTTACAAAAAGGTCCAGTCAGAATCTAATATAAAACGAGGGTATTGTATGTAATTTTTAC